ATGTGATTCACATGTAAATCACATATGATTCACATGTGAATCACATATGATTCATATGTGAATCGCATGTGATTCACATATGATGTCATGTGTAAATGTGATTCATATGTGAATCGCATGTGATTCATATGTTAATCACATGAAAATCATATATGTATTTTTGTGAGTGTATTAGCATCAATCAATTTTTTTAATTTTCTTGTAGATTTGAAAGAAATTGTGGTGAATATTGAAGAGGTGAAAATGATAAATTAAAGAAAATAAGAAAATATTGACACGAAGACATGAAAACGCTTTGTAATTTGTAGCATTTTATATTTTTATATTTTATTTTATATTGAATAAAATACTTGTACTATTATATTTATATATTAATTAATAAAAATGAGATTTTTTATGATTTACTTACGAATATTACAGTATAAGAAATATGCATATATGCATTTGAAAAAATATGCATATATGCACCTAAAACTTTGATTTTTATTGTTAAAAAAATTGAGTATTTTTTTTAAATATTCTATTTCTTTGTTTTAAACTTATTGATTTTTAAAAATTTACTTTTTAAAAAAAATACAGTTTTTTTTGTTAAATTCAGTTTTTTTTAAAAAAAAATTGCTGTTTTTTTTGAAAAAAAAATGCAGCTTTCTTTGCAGTTTTTTGAAAAAATTGCAGGCTTTTTATAAAAAAATGCAGTTTTTTTTAAAAAATTATAGTTTTTTTTTTGAAAAAATTGGAGTTTTAAAAAAAAATCATGTTTTCTATAAAGAATTAAAAAATCTGCATTTTTTTAAAAAAATCAAAAAATATTATTTTTAAAAAAATCCGAAAGTTTGATTTATTATGTAAATTTTTAGACTTTTATATTAATATATTCAATAATACAAAAAATTAAACATTAAATGAGATTGGTAAGATGACGATCATGTCATTAATGAGTTAATTTTGATCTAACGCTCCACTTTTAGTTCTCAGGTTCTCAAAAAACTATGAGTTGTCAACCGATCTCATCTCTCTCTCTCTCTCTCTCTCTCTCTCTCTCTCTCTCTATATATATATATATATATATATATATATATATATATATATATATATATATATATATATATATACACTTTAAAGGTCGATATTGCGTTATGTATTGTTATTTTAGTAAGTTTGATTAAACCCTATAATAATTGTACACATTTAAAATTAAAATCAAGAAAATCATTTTTAGGGGTTCCATTGCATATTTAGCCTCCTTTTTAAACCCAACGTCTAACTAAGGTTGTGGTCTAAGTTTCTTTCTTTAAAACATTTTCATTATATAGTTTTTTTGTTTTTTACTATGTAATATTTTCTTTTTATTTATTTATTTGATATGCTTAGAAACAAAAGAAAAAAATATATAAAAGACAATATAAGTTTTTTCACAAAAAAAAACATATTTATTGATTAAAAACTAAAGTTTAGAATTAATCAATATTTTTTTTTTGAAACAACAATTTTATTAAAGAAAGCAAAATAAACCCCTGTCGATAAGAAAGAAGACATGGGGAAACAAGAAAAACAGATTACAAGATACTAAAAGGATAACAACACCACTTTGACCAATTACAACCATCGAAGTTACCTCTATATTTGACCCAATTAAACACCAATGGAATAACATTATCCGCCATCTTAGTAGGAGAAGTGTAAATGTTGCTGAAAACTTTGTCATTCCTAGCTTTTCAAATGCTCTAAAGGTATCTGTAGACAATCGCCAAAATGATCTTTCATTTATAGGGCAATTATCCCATAAAGTTGCAAACTTAATGAAATTAGTCACCGAGTCCAAATGAAAGAAAGAGATACCACACCATCTCAAGATCCACTTTTGGACCTCCCTAGCATAGCTGCAGCTGACCAAGACATGATCAATGACCTATGAAATAGAGGAAGTGCACAGCTGGAAATTGGTGGAAGGAATGCAAACTCCCCTTCGTGATAGAGCCGCTGAAGAAGGAATATGATCCATAGAAGCCCGCCAAACGAAAGTATTAACTTTAAGGGGCACCAAATGTATCCAAGTTGTATGGTTATCAACACCCTCAATAAGCTTAGCATCAATAATGCTTTTGAAATCGTGTACATGAAATCTTCCATTAGATGAATTAGCCCACCAAGTATCCAGACCACCTGGAAGAGAGAAATTAGAAAAAATCTCACCAAGTTGATGTAATTCTGATCGTTCACTATGGTTATAGGGAGCTTCTTTTCAATCCCAATTGGGGCAAGATTAAGTCAACCTATCTAAAACAACACAAGATTTTCTTTTCTCCATGGGCATAAATGTTAGGAAATCTAGAAGACAGTGGCACATCATTTAACCAAGGATCTTGCCAAAACAAAATTTTAGACCTGCAACCCACCTTACAAGAAAATAGTCTTTAAATCAATACCAAGGTTATCAAGGTTTTTGATAATACTGGAAATATTTCACCAAACACCAGGAGTTGAATTTTTAGCAAAAGTGAAGGATGGTTTTCGATTGAGATTATGAATGCCCCAGATGACTTTGCTCCAAATAGACTCGCTATCAGTTTTAAGTCGCCATAACCATTTAGCCAAGAGAGCAATGTTAAGGCTCCGAAGTGATCCCACCCCTAATCTGCCATTATCTTTGGGATCAAGGACGATTTTCCAAGCAACCCAACAAATCTTGTTCTTCTCCTCACGACCTCTCCATAGAAAATTACGCCTAATTCTCTCGAGTGCATCAATAACGCAAGAAGGAGCTTTAAAAATCGAGAAGTAAAATAAAGGGATACTCCCGAGGACCGACTTCACTAAAGTAAGCCTTCCACCGAAAGATAGTGTTTTAGATTTCTAATTGGACAAACTGCCTTAAACCTTATCAATAACAATTCTCCAGTCTTCTTAAGAGTCATATTTACCCCTACAGTCACGCCCAAATAAACGAAAGGAAACGAAGCGGCCTCGCACCTTAATATACGCGCACAATTATTTATCTCGATATCACTGACACCGATGCCATAAACTTTAGATTTTTGAAGGTTGACCTTTAGCCTCGAAATAACATGAAAACATTTGAGAATCCGAGACATGTTGGCAAAGTTGGATCTAGTCCATTCACCCAAAAAGATTGTATCGTTGGCGTAAAAGAGGCGTGATATGTTTGGACCATTGTAAGGAATTTGGAGCCCTTGAAAAATGGAGTATTGCACCACAGACTTCGTGACAACATTCAAGCCTGCCATTGTAATGATAAAAAGAAACGGAGATAAGGGATCGCCTTGGCGGACTCCTTTGTGATAGAGAACTCTTGAGAAGGGGATCCATTGATCAACACAAAAGCTCTAGCTGACACGAGACATCCCCTGATCCAGAACCGCCACCTGTTACGAAACCCCATTTGAAACATCAAAGAATCCAGGTAGCTCTAATTAAGTGAATCGAAAGCCTTGTCGAAATCAATTTTGAAAAGGAACGCCTGTTTTTTACACTTTTAACCCAAGAAACTATTTTGTTTACAATAAGAGGCGCATCTAAAATATCGCGTCCCTCAACGAATCCATTCTGGACCTCATCCACCACCGAGCTTTTAATTCTGGACGCAAGGGCTTTGACAATTATTTTGTACAAACAATCGATGAGGCTAATGGGTCGGAAGTCGTTTAGAGTGAGTGGGTCTTTGACCTTGGGGATTAAAAATATGAAAGATGAATTACATCCCATGGAGAAATGTCTGCTTGCCTCAAAATACTTAACAAATATCATGATATCATCCTGTAATAGACATCAGTAACGTTTTAAGAACTTAAAACTGAACTCATCCGGGTCCGAGGCCTTATCAATGCCACAATTCCAAATGGCATCCTTAATTTCAGCAAGAATGGAATCGTTCTCAAGAAAAGTACAATCCTCCGATGAAAGTTTCTTGAAATTTGGATTGATTAGGTTGGGGCGAACGGTGTGAGATTCATGAAATTTATTATAAATTAGACGAAAACTGATTTGTCAAATATTTAATTAGTATTTATGATTATAAGTTTTTGCAAACAACAAACTAGTAAAAAATTGATTTGTAAAATCAAAAGACTATAAATAGGATAAATAACCAATATTTTTCCTTATTAAATTATAAGAAGTAATTTATTAAAAACTAGAAGCATTTTTGTGATTTAATCGAATAGTAAATTACGATAAACTTAAAAGATAAATTAACTTATGTATATATCTAATTAAACTATTCCATACAAACCACATGTAACTCCCCTCTCGTATTAAATTAAGGTCAAAATGTCATAAATGTTAAATAATATCGTCATTTACAAAGTCATTTAAAAATGTATGAGAAAACCAAACTCAATTTTAAAGTTGGAGTTCTCAAGTTTGAAAATGAGTGGTCTATATATATATTCTAGGATAGTTACTACAGGGACTAACATGTCAACTTAAAGATACTACAAGGAGTTAAATGTAAATTACCAGTTTTAAAAAGCAGTGAACTGAAGTCTATACTTGCCTACAACATTTATTGGGAATGTTAATGTATATTAAAGAAACTATAAGGGCTTAAATGCACATTAATGAAAGAACTTGAACTTTAACCTTTTGGTCCAAAATCTTTACATGCATATACATGTTGTACAGTACAAACAACAGAAGAAACCCACGATGTTGACGTTGGGGTGCAACTTAACTCTTGGTCAAACATGCAATGTTCTCAAGAGAAAACCAGTAAAATGTACAAGTTCCAATTCGTAATGTACAAGATTCGATATAAAGGTTATTCTGCATTTATAAATTTAAGCTCTGGGTAAAGGATTTCGCCATTAATTACATGTCTTTTAATAAAGCTGTAACAGTAGCAGATTAACAAAATTTTGGTGAAGACTCTGGAATTAGAGTCGGAAATTTGTTAAATTTGAAGCTAAAATTAGAATCCCATTTGACTATTTGTCCATAAGATTCATAAAAACAAAAACTTTACCTTTAATGCGATATTTCCATTAATGGGTTATGACAAATTCACCATCGGAAACCACAGAGACCTCAATTTGACTCATTTCATCATCTTCTTCATCAATTGGAGTAGGGAGATTAAGATCAATCAGATTAATGCTCTGTTTTGCAACTGGTTTAGCGTCAGCCATGGAAGCAGTTGAAGCTGTAACATGTGATCTTTTGTGACCGCCGAGAGCTTGGCCGGAAGCAAACACTTTGAAACACACAGGGCATTCATGGATTTTATCTTCCATGGCGACATTTTGTGTTTGATGATTGTTGTCATGATGACTCTGTTTGATTTTTTTATGACTTGCTCTGTGCCCACCAAGTGCTTGATACGATCGGAAAACTTTGTTACATGTCTCGCATCTGTACTTCGTCCTCGTCGGAGTTCGCTTCACGTTAATAATCTCTCTATCGGATTCCGATTCGTTGTCTGATTCTTCATGTTCTCGATCTTCTTCTTCATCTGACCATTTGTCTCTTGATAACATCATTAAACAGTAGGCTACATCTTCTTCCGGTGAAGTATCGGAGATTGAACTTACCGGCTCCGGGGTGGACGATTCAGCTGTCTTCGGACACGGTTTAAAGATCTTTGATTTCTTCAGATATTGCCATTGATTCTGATTTTTGTTACGAGTAAGTTCATGAAAATGCTGTTGATCACCCAACCATGAAGTCTCCTGTCTCCGAATCCGTTTTGATCGTCTTCGGACAGTGGCTTTTTTTGAAGTCTCCGTTTCGCTCTCCCTGTCCTGCACTGAACCACCACCAACTACACCGCCACCGCCTGCGGCGGCGGCGGTGAGTGTAACTGTAAGTGCTCCGGGGAATGCAAATTCTGGATCGTCTAACTGCAAACTCTTCTTAGGATTCTCCCTCAACCCATAAAGATTGTCATCCCCGTCGTCCTCATCTTCCTCCGTCGATGAAGATGGTGGTGAGGAGGGTAGTGGTGGTTTGGGAGTTACGTAAAGATTGAGCATGTGAGATCTCATATGGCCGCCCAAAGCTCTTCCATTTGCAAAGCTCTTTAAGCAGAGCTTGCAGTTGTGTTTCTCCATTGTTTCCGTTTCTCTCTCTACAAGGATACGTTTCCCACTCTAAAAAGTATATGTGGTTTATGGGTTTGTATGAAGTTTAAGTAAAGAGAGTGTGTTGAAACTTAAAGGAGTAGGTGACAAGCATCCCTTTACCAAGAGTAATTTACAAAACTACAAAAAACCATTAATTAACCAAAGAGTAAACTACAGTCTTGATCCCTTTAATTGACACTAATTTCTAGTTTTGGTCTAAGTGTTAAAAAATCGATATGGTTGGTCTTTATGATTTTATTTTTGTTCAAAGTTGGTCCTTATAGTTTTATTTTCTTGCACGGTAGATCACTCGATTGTTAAATCGTACTATTCAACCATTAAATTTGTTAATATGACCATTTTACCTTCAACAAAAATCAATAACCAGGCCAGTCCAGACGGTGGGCAACCCGGGCGACCGTCCAACGCCCACGACTACAGGGACCCAAAATTTATGGGCTATGTAGTTTATATATATATATATATATATATATATATATATATATATAAAATGATTTTTAGGGCCTAAAGTTGGTTGAAACTCAAAAAAGGTCAAAAGATAACAACTTAGTTTGATTGTTAGTGCTAATTGAACACGTCTATATTAAAGAGTAAATGATATATATATTTTTTAATCTTTATTATATTTGTCTTTGAGGGGCCCTTTTTTCTTTTTGCCTCAGGCCCTATATATGTTTGGACCGGCCCTGTCAATAACTACTCTAACTTCAGTGAAAAATACTAAAAAATATAATTATACCAAATAAAAAAAAACTCTAACCTAATATTGTATACCTTCTTCCTACCACCACCTTCATCCCTATGACTCCCTCATGATATTCTTTTTTTTAACGACATATTTAATATACTTCTAAACTATTCATAATTATATCTATGTTTTAAACATGGCTTAAACTTTTGATCTTAATGATCAAAGACAACACCTAATATCATTGGGCTAAAATGTAATACCCATAAATTTGGACTAGGTGTTTAGAGTTTAATCGTAGTAATTATATATTTTATCGAACAATTAAAATCATTAATTAAAATAATTGTTTTCCGTATGTCTTATGAAATAATAAATAATTATCATATACACATTAAGTGGATAAATATTTGGAGTATAGAATATTTATAGAAAACCTCAATATAACATTTATCGTTAAACGATAACTTAAAGATTTAAAATAAAATATTGTTTCAGATAAATAATCTTAATAAAAGTTGTAGTAGTCGTGACGGTAATCTTGTGGATATAAAGAACGCTCAAATCTGACTTCGTATGAGGAAGTTATGATTTATTTAAGTTTCGCGTTCAAACCGATACATCAAGATGCGTCATAAAAATTGAACCGAAGATGGGTTACTTTTTAGCCAAAGTGATGTAAATGAAAGTCATAGTGCTCGTCAATAGGAACTCATCAATATAAAGAATGCCAAAATCTGACTTCGTATAGAGAAGTTATGATTTACATAAGTTTCACGTTTAAACCGATACGACGACATGCAACATAAAAAATCAACCGGAGATTGGTTACTTTTTAGCCCAAGTGATGTAAATGAAAATCATAGTGCTCGTCAATAGGAACCCGCAGATATAAAGAACGCCAAAATATGAAGCCATCGATATAAAAACGGTTTAGAACGGAGCTCGTATCTGAAGGATATAAGCGAAACTTGGCCCCTAAGTTTCGAAACACATGTGAAATCTGTTCAGATTTGTAAAATCAAAAAAGAATGAGAATTAGCCGACAGAGTCTAAATGAAAATTGTAGTACTCGTTGATACAAAGCTAATGATATAAAGACAATCAAAAACGAAATACGTATGAAGAAGTTATGAATTTTGCAGCGTTAATTATAGTCTAAGCCTCCTCGAACCGAATCACGAAAAATAAAGTGAAAATTAGCCGACGAAGTCTAAACGGAAGTTGATGTCTATGAAATTATGAATCCATCGGTATAGAGAACATCGATAAAGGAGCTCATATGCGAAAGATATGGACGAAACTTGGTCCCTACTCTTCGAACGCGACGAATTTTATATATATATATATATATATATATATATATATATATATATATATATATATATATATATATATATAAAAGAAAAGAGAATTAGTCGACATAGTCTAAATGAAAGTTATATTACTCGTCGATACAAATTTAAGGATATATAGACAGACGAAAACGGAGCTCATACGCGGAAGATACAGACGAAACTTGGTCCCTACTCAAAGCCTAGTGTCCAGACCCCTATAAATACAAGTTTGATTTTGTTCATTTGTTGTCCGTATTTTCTTCAAATCCTCTCTAGAAATTCCATTCTTTCATATCCGATTCTTCTTAGCTTTTAGAGTGCTTTAACGAGTTTCCGCGGCATTAGAGAGCCGACGAAAAGAAGATTCCAGAGTCAAAGTGTAACATCCCAAATTTTACGATCAAAATTTTTATTTTTAATTTAATAATTCATAAAACAGATTATTAAGAACATCATTGAGTTATCCCATATTATAAAAACCCATAAGTCATATGTCTCAAAACAAGTCATAATAATGTCAGAGTACAAATCACAAGAACATCATAGTGCGGAAAAATAGTGGTGTGATGCGCTGCAGTCATGCCGACTCCTTTCCCTTCGAAGAAGAAGTACCTGAAACCAACACTGAAAACCGTAAGCACAAAGCTTTAGTGAGTTCCCCCATCATACCACATACCAAACAATCATATAACACCTAGCATATCTGGGTGTTGGCCTCCCCTTCGGTCTCTTTCAACTGGTAACTGCCTAACATATCTGGGTGCTGGCCTCCCCTTCAGTCTCTTTCAACCGGTAACTGCCTAGCATATCTGGGTGCTGGCCTACCCCTTCGGTCTCTTTCAACCGGTAACCGAGGACTATTTCACCCCTACTACTACCGCATAATACCCTAGCATATACATATAAATCATATACTGCCTAACATATCTGGGTGCTGGCCTCCCCTTCGGTCTCTTTCAACCGGTAACCGGGGACTATTTCACCCCTACCACTATCACATAATAATATACATACTAGCTCATAAAGCATAACAGATAGTGGCATACCAGTCAATTATCACAAAGACAATCATCTCAATTATATTCAATACTAGTGGGCCGACATTGGTGCCTTCGACCCACTCCTACTGGAAGGTAACTCACCTCGCAAAGCTAAATGACGACAAGGAATCCCCAACGACTGCTCCAACGACCCCCCGACTATCATTATCATAACAACACTTAGTCAAAATCCATAATACTCCTTAGGGTAAAATGACTATTTTACCCCTTGGTCGAATTTGGGCCATATCCAAGGCCCAAATTACATTTTACCTTTCCAAGCCCACTAATGGCCCAATTTTCTAAATTGGGCGCAACTCCTCAATTGGACCTTTCCCAAAGCCCAAATATGTCCTTGTCCCAATTATTGATTCCTCATGGCCCATTAAGGCCCAAAAGCTACAGAGTCCAAAGCTTGGCCCAATCCGAGGCCCAAAAGACGTGAAGCCCAAATCCTGAGAGTACGCTGAGTGTACTCCTCTGTACGCTACGCGTACATCTTGCATGGCTTGTACGCTACGCATACTGCCGTGTTCGCCCAACGTACTACCCTATTAAGCCATATTTTTCAACACTGCTTAATCCCTTAAGACATTAAGTCCAAAATACAGATCCGAGTCCAATAACATGTCTTAATTCATAAAGTCGATTACTTGGTGGCTTGCAACTCACCAAATGAGCCCAAACCTGGAATATAGCAACTAACTTCCATAGAAATGATCAAAACTCATGCATGGTCACAAAAGGACCTTAAAGATCGAAACTTTACTGCTTATGGGACTCATATATCACTAAGGGTGGCAACCTTAGGCCTAGAAACGAATTTGAGTCATAAAGATCTATTCCTGGGACTAAAAAGGTCCAAAACATCACTATACTAGATCTAAGCATACTTGAGGAAAGTTGTGAACTTTATACCTTCAAGGAGTCCCAAATGATGATGCTATCCCGGATCTATGAGCTCAAGATACTCAAGTTCCTCTTCACTAGCTTCTCTTTCCTTCTTTCAAGCTTCTAAGCTCCAAAACAAGCTTCACAAGGCCAAACACACACAAGAATGAGAAAAGGGAGGCTATCTAGGGCTTATGAGGATGAGGGGCTAGTAAAGAGGCTAGAGTTTGAGCCATAATGTTCTATTTATATGGCTAAAAATTAGGGTTTGGAGTCTGCTTGCGTACACCAATGTGACTCTACGCCCCGCGTACACCAGACTTGCGCCCATCGTACATCTTCGGGTAGCCCATTCTTATTGGCCCACTTTCTCAGCCCACTCAATAATCCATTAATCCTTCCTAGGTCCAAACAAATAAATTACAAATATTTTTAAAATAAATATTACCTCAAATGACGGGCATTACAAATCTCCCCCACTTATTTTAGACTTCGTCCTCGAAGTCAGCTATTGCTGCCGGGAATAACTCGGGGTAATGCTCCCTCATCTCGTCCTCTGGTTCCCACGTCCATTCCTATCCCTTATGGTGCTGACACTACACCTTCACCAGCTTTACTTCCTTGTTTCTCAGCGCATTCGTCTTCCTGTCGAGAATGGATACCGGCCACTCGATGTAGTTCAGGCTGTAGTCCACCTAAATGTCCTCTAACGGCACAACTGCGAAGTCATCCACCAAGCACTTCTGCAGCTGGGAGACATGAAAGGTGTTGTAGATCTGACTAAGATCGGCTGGCAGATCCAGTCGATACGAAACTTGGCCCACCCGGGCCAATACCCTGAACGGTCCAATGTATCTGGGGCCCAACTTGCCCCGCTTCCTGAACCAGATGACACCCTTCCAAGGTGACACCTTCAGGAGGACCATATCACCTACCTGAAACTCCAGGTCTGATCGTGGTTTGTCGGTGTAGCTCTTTTGCCAACTTTGGGCCATCTGGAGTCTACTCCGG